ACTGGATTCTTTGGGGATAACTCAGCAGGAATATGAAGATCTTTCATTTCTGGAGCGCTCAAAGTTAGATATCCATTTTTGCAAGTGAGAGAAATCAATACCAGCCGAGGCTCTTCCCGAGCAGTCACTTTATGTCCATCTTCCTTTACCACAAGCCAATGTCTGAAGTTCAGAACACATTAAAATGCATTAAGTGTTATGGAAAGGCAACTAAACTTTGCATAGCTGAAATTCTAGCGTGGTCAGCTGTTTAAGACTGACAGTGAACGATCAGGTTGTTAATCCATGCTGATTTTTAATATGACATCTGTATTCCAGCCTTAATCAAGTTCAGAGCTGTCACACACACTTTCCTACCTAAGTTTGAGTTAAATTTAGACTCCGTGGAGAGTTAAATTTAGATTCCATGGAACTATATCTGGTACTTTCAGACCATTCTGAGTTAAATGAACAATCTGTATAACTATGCCTTCTGCTTAGATTTTTTTTCTATACAGAAGTGCAGCATATCTCTTTGTGCCAGCAGCCACTAAATTCTTGTAGTCCTGCCCACTAATACATGACCTCTGTCACTGATTATTACCAGCACATGAAACTCCTGATCTTACCGGGATAGTCTGATAACAGCCAAGAGGTCACTCGTGGCTATAATGCTTGTTCCCAGAAATGGACACTGACTGCGGAAAGACACAGGAAACAGCCTGTGGGGTTCCTCAAGGGGGCAGTACTGTCCCCAATGTTATTTCACATCTACATGTGCCCCCTTGCCCAGATTGCCCGGAGGCATAGGCTAGGGTGCCACCCATATGCAGATGACACCCAGCTATATCTGTTGTTGGGCGGTCAGTCCGACTCTACCCCAGATGACCTGGAGTGGGCGCTTTGTGACATGGCGAGCTGGCTTAGACTGAGTCAACTGAAATTGAATCCAACGAAGATGGAGGTCCTGTGCCTGAGCGGACTGGGGGTAGGGACCCCACTTCCAACCTTCGATGGGGCGTCATTGGTGCCAGCGCCGAGGGTTAGGTGTTTGGAAATGCTTCTGGATGCCACCTTAACAATGGAGAGTGGCTATAATGCTTGTTCCCAGAAATGGACACTGACTGCGGAAAGACACAGGAAACAGCCTGTGGGGTTCCTCAAGGGGGCAGTACTGTCCCCAATGTTATTTCACATCTACATGTGCCCCCTTGCCCAGATTGCCCGGAGGCATAGGCTAGGGTGCCACCCATATGCAGATGACACCCAGACTGAGGAAAGACACAGGAAACAGCCTTGTACCAAGTCAGACCACTGCTCTAGCGAGGCCAGTACTATACACTCTGATTGGCAGCAGCTCTCACATTACTGCCTCCTGACCCTTTTAACAGAAGATGCCAGAGACTGAACCTGGGACCTTCTACATGTCCAGTAGATGCTCTACCACTTAGTCTCTACCACAATCCCTCCCTGTTTTTAAAAGAAGTGGGAAACAGGTTTGTCAGTTTTTGAATCCATCTTTGTAGCTCAACACCTGTTTGAGCTGAAGTACTTAGCAGGTAATAAGATGGATGCTATGAAAAGTTTTACCAGCTGATTTCTACCTAAAACAGAAGTAGTACAGGAGGATGTTCTTCAGTAGCTACATACAAATAAGATCAAAATGTTTTAAGGGACCAGTGGCAGGGGGGGCTTGTTAGAGCTTTATGGACGACACTTCCATGCTAGACTCGTTTCAGCCCGGCTTCTAGCCAGGTCATGGGACAGAGACGGCACTGGTCGCACTCACAGATGACCTCCAGAGGCATCTGGATCGAGGCGGTATGGCAGTGCTGTTGCTGTTAGATCTATTGGCGGCGTTTGACACTGTCGACCATCAGCTACTGATCCACTGCCTCGCCGACACTGGGATTCAGGGGTTTGCCTTGCAATGCCTTGTCTCCTTTCTCCAAGGTCGGGGACAGAGGGTGGCGTTAGGGGAGCAGACATCCCAGAGGTACCCGCTGGCCTGTGGGGTTCCTCTAGGGGCAGTACTGGCCCCGATGTTATTCAACATCTACATGCTCCCCCTTGCCCAGATTGCTCGGAGGCACAGGCTAGGGTGCCACCCATATGCAGATGACACCCAGCTGTATCTGTTGTTGGGCGGTCAGTCCAACTCTACCCCAGATGACCTGGAGCGGGCGCTTTGTGACGTGGCAAGCTGGCTTAGACTGAGTCGACTGAAATTGAATCCAATGAAGATGGAGGTCCTGTGCCTGAGCGGACTGGGGGTAGGGACCCCACTTCCAACCTTCGATGGGGCGTCATTGGTGCCAGCGCCGAGGGTTAGGTGTTTGGAAATGCTTCTGGATGCCACCTTAACAATGGAGGCCCAGGTAGCAGCCACTGCCAAGGCAGCCTTTTACCAACTGCAGCTGATTAGGCAATTGGTTCCCTTCCTCGAACGCGATGACCTGGCAACAGTGATTCATGCTATGGTCACCTCAAGATTAGACTACTGCAACGCTCTCTACATGGGGCTGCCCTTGTCTCGGATCCGGAAGCTGCAGCTAGTGCAAAATGCGGCGGCCAGGCTGTTGATGGGTCTCTCTATTTGAGACCACATCCAAGCTGTGCTGAAGGCACTGCACTGGCTGCCAATAGCTTACTGGATCCGTTTCAAGGTGCTGGTTTTGACCTTTAAAGCCCT